CTATTGACAATTTTCAACTCCCTCCGACTATTTTGCATTAGAAAAATATGACGTCGACTCCAACGTCCTTAAATTTTGCATCGTCTGCGAATTTGGAGTGCACCCTACGTTCGATTGGGGGAGCCCTGCTCCTCGAGGAAATCTAACTTCATTGTTAAAGATTAGCAAATGGAGAAGAGCTTAACTCCTTTGCATCATTTTAGGAAAACATAGGTCCAATTCAGCATAGGATAAAAACACATTTCTTCTTTCAATTTTGCTTCTGTAAGACGATCGAGTCTATTTTATATTTTTGGGAACGAAGACATCTTGATTTGTGATCATGGGGTGACAGGATGTTTGCACTGAATCAAACTTGAATGAGAAACGAAAAACAGTTTAGCCTCGCTGTTAATTTTTCCTTGCGGCTCTGGTAGCATATTTGTATTTAATGAGTTACATGACGACTCTAACGAAGGTGAGCTTGGTTTGGAGAAAAGAAACAGCTTCCATGTCAAGTGCGTATTCAGATTTGGGGAAAGACGGATACTTCATTAGGAGTGGGTAAGATTTCCCCAAATTTGGGCGAGCTCTTGCCCTGTTACATCGCAGTCGCAAAACATGTATTGAGATTCTTGTAGAATTCTTTTTACCGTAGTTCTATCCCCATGAAAATTAAAATCTTTGAGGGTGCAAATGAAATTACCTCTCTCCCGCAGCCTTGTATCACTCCCGTTTTACACAATCCAGACTTATTTGAAATAGTTGCAAAAACATCGCAGCGTGACATTTTTTGCAGATTACAGATTTTCATGACTTTTTCGACGGCTGGAGCACATAGAAATCCCTTAATTTTTCAGTTTGTTCAAGGCCGATTGAGCTATAGCATTAACTTCTATAGAAAAATATTTGAAGGATGAAGGAAGTATTTTAAAATGGGAAAAAGCAATATCGAAGTTCGTGTTTTCCCTGCAAAAAAGGGAACTTTGAAAAACGTCACGGTTTAACAGCTAATTCCTCCAACTTTTTCTGAATCTTTGATAGTCGAGTAAAATTACCCAACAGGCTCGGGTTCCTCTTAACTTGTCAAGCATTTGTCACTACGAACTAAGAGCGAGAAAGAAAGAAAAAAAAATCAGATGATCCCCATATACTCAGAGCTTTTCTTCACTTCTCTTTTGATTCAACGAAATCCATTTCCCTCCGATTTCCCTCATCAGAAAACAATTCTCAAGAATTACTGTGACCTCAGTTCATCAAGCTCTTCCATTTGAAGCAGGAGAATTTTCTCGCGTAACCTCCCCATCGAGGAACTCGTTTCGGCGGAATGGAAAATTGCAAAATTTTGCTACGGATTTCTCCGATCTCGTTTGAAGAATATTGCCTAATATTTACATGTTTTCCTGAACTTTTTACTCTTTTCACAAAAAAGGTATATTTGTTCAGGAGGCAGATGGTTCTTAACCATAAGATTCCGCCATTTCCACCTCTCCATCGGGAAGGGAAAATTCACCTTGCAGTATCGATGACAGGGAAGGGAAAATTCACCATGCAGTATCGATGACATATTTACCATCTATTTTTGGGTGAAGTAGGCGACCGGGGCAGAGGAGGGCACGAGAATAAGCGGATGTACATAAAAAAGAATGAGGAGTGACAGCGCAAAGCTGTGACGTAACCATCGGAACGAAAGTTAAGACATTATTTCAAAGAAACCGGTGTGGTGCGTCACATTGGCCATCGCGAAACAGCTTTCGCTTCATGGCGCAACACTTAACCTTTCCAAGGAACGTTTTCATTTGTGAATCAAGTGGGATGACCAACCGGGGGGGGGGGGGGGGTGTTCCTCCCGATACAGACTTTACAGCTCTACAAGCCCCTCCCTCTAGAATTTTCCAGGGCCTGCTTGACCAAAACTCTCCGTTGTTTAAGTTTCATATCCCACAGGAGCCAACATAGCTGCCAAACTCACCCGATTGGCTATTATCACACTGTTGGCCAGCTGTTTATATTACTTTAGAGGATGGTACTATCTTATGTTGTGTTTGAGCAACGCTGAATGTGACCGACACTTTGAAAGTCCGCTGAACTTTGAGTATGAAACGATTCGACTCTCCAACTTTGTCTCGATTGTGAGCTTCATTAAAAAAATTTCTTAGAATTTGGCTTCAAAGTGCTGAGGGTTCTATTCATCAATGAAATTGATCACCAATTACCTTCATCCTAGAAACATGAGATACAATTGATATTTTTAATGATGCTTTCGCAGTCAGTTGAGTGTTAGGCTTTAAAGAGTGAACCGCAGAGTTAAAAATGAATATGACGTGTTATAAACTAAGAATTCTCCTCTATAATCACGATCATATATACATTGTATCAATATTCATCATCTCACCATTTTAAAATTTCAATGACCCATTTTTATCGGGTGAGTGTGAATGAAATATAGCACCACGGCTGCAAGTTATCGAGAGGGGGAACACATTTCAAGGTGAAGGGACCTTTTTTTTCTTCAGAAACGGAGAGAATCCTCAAAACTGAAGCGGTAATCGACTTCGAAAATTAATTTCCCACGGAGTTTTCATACGGAGTTTTCTTCGCCTACTCTTTTCCTTACTTAATATTTGTTGTATCCGAGCACCAAAAATTATTTCATCACTCTCAAAAATTCATTTGTGATGCAAATACGAAGAGTGTATACATTAAAAAAATCGACTGGTGGTAAAAGAGTGAACTCGAGGCAATTATTCAGGTCACGGTCGAGAACAAAAACCGATTTCTAAGTGATGCAGCCAAATAAGTTTTAGCTCTTGTGAAAAGAGTCTTCGATGTTTGGCGAGGCCTTGCCATGATATTAAGCAATATCAAAGAATTTCTTTCAATCTTTAATAATACGAAGGGGTCCACTTCCTGGCCACTCCACGGCCCAGCCCCTGAGAAGCGGTGTAAGTATTATTCCGTTCTTTTCTCTCCATCAAGAAGTTACTTTAGGTAAAAACATTTTCAATTTGAAATTCATCTCGTCATTTTCCAATACTCCCTTTGGATTTGGAATCATCCGAGATGATCCCGTGTAACTGCCTCAGAAAATACATTACATGCAAAATAACGCGACATAAACCAACTGAGATCCCTGTCCGGAGGAAGATTTCGGCACTTGAATAATGCGCAGAGCGTAAAAAATAGAGGAATATCCGCAGTTAGGTTCGAACCTAACATGCAACTATTTTAACTCCGCGGTGGGCCAGGTTGCATACACACGATTGTGTAGGCGAAATTTGAGATCTACCCTAGGCTTTCGCGATCGGGTGCAGGAGCGATTAGTGTTTTCTCTCCCATTCGGTCAACTATTCGGACGTTCCTGACGAACAGATTTGTAAAGAGATATTAACTATCTGAGAAACGCCTCGAAAAAAGAACTCTGCAAATGAATAATGTACTAAATGGAAACAATGGGAGGATATACTAAGTCTAGTTTAGGCACAACACAGTTACTTTAACTCTGCGATAAGCCGAGGGAAAAAGGGAATAATCATCCCGAAACCAAAAAAAAATGTGATACTTAAACACACATTTTCAAGACAGCTCGGAAAGATCTGACTCGCAAGACGATCTAGACGAGAAAGCACCGTACTGCGAATGATAGTCTCGTGCCGAAACAGTACGTGGCATCGTTTTTCCAGGAAAAAATTCCCGAGCCTTGTACAGTTTCTGTATTATCGTTCTCACATCTCACCCACATACTTTCTTTTCGGTGCAATGGACCACTAGACAAGGTACGAATTTCAGCATTCTGATGCATGATTCTTAACCAAAATTTAACGTAGAACACGATACGCACAACGGAAATTACAAAAATCAACTCCTTACGAAGCTATTTAATGATTCTTAGTGCGTGAATTCAAACCATCCGCTCCTGAAAACTCAATGCTCTACGTGATTCACATCGCGCGCTAAACGTTATCATGACAGTCTTTGCGATATAAAAATCTGGCAACCTCAATCTTGACGCTTTGGCTCAGCTATAGCAAATTGCTTATAGTTTGAAAAATACATTGCGGGAAATGAACATTGCTCGGTTGAGAAGCTTGCTGAAACCGTTGTAGTGCGCGATTTGACTCACGTAGAGCTTTCAGTTTCTTGTGAGCGGCCAGTTCAAATTCCTCGTAATCAATGTGAAATAAAAACGTTCATATCTTCGTTAGGAGTTGGTTTCCGTAATTTTCGTTGTGTGAATCGTTTTCTACGTGAAATTCTGGTTAAGAAACATGTATCAGATCGCTTAAATTCGTACCTTGTCTAGTGGTCCATTGGACAAAATGCCAGATTGTAAAAAGGCATAAAGTAAAAGCTCGCTACGTCGAACCACGGTTAGGACGAATTGCCGCTTAAGTGGAATTCTTTGTCGGTCCCTACAAAATTCGACTTAGCAAGCATTTGCAGTAATTAGAGAGTTTTCGGGCAAAATTTGTTGTTCGAAACCTCAAACCCATTCTAGAAAGCGAATAAAGGCAATTTAACAACTTTCCCTGACATTTTCGTTATTTACCTTGACATTCCCCGGTTTTCCCTGACTTCTAAAATTCCCTGACATTTCCCGATTTTCCCTGAATTTTTAAAATTCCCTGACATTTCCCAGTTTTCCCTAACTGTGGTAATCCTGCCTAATTCATGTGATTTTCCCTGACATTTCCAGGTTTTCCCTGACTTTCGAAAATTACCTGACATTCCCCGGTTCTCCCTGGCTGCGGCAACCCTCATTCATGTCATTTTCCCTGACATTTCCAGGTTTTTCCTGACTTTTGAAAATCACCCAACATTTCCCGGTTTTCCCTGACTTTTGAAAATTACCTGACATTCCCCGGTTCTCCCTGGCTGTGGCAACCCTCATTCGTGTCATTTTCCCTGACATTTCCAGGTTTTCCCTGACTTTTGAAAATCACCCGACATTTCCCGGTTATCCCTGATTGAAGAACCGGCATAAATGCGAAAGGGAAGAGATGAAGAGGTGAAAAACTCACCTGGTTCGACTGGCTGGCGCAGCTCGCGACGCTGTTGGCATCCTCGTCGTCGGACATGGGCGTCGCGTCCTCCTTCTCTTCTTTGGCAACATCTTGGATGGACGCCGCTTCGACGGGGCTCTTTTTCGCATCCACTTCCACGTCCACCTCCCCGGCCGCGGCGGCGTCCACCCCCGCCTCCTCCTCGACATCCTCGTCGGCGGGCGGCGGCGGCGTCGTCGTCTCTTTCGCCATCGGCTCCGCCTCCGCTTCGTCTAGCTCGGGCTCGGCTTCTTCTACTTGCATCGCCTCCTCCGGGTCCTCTGGCTCTTCGGCCGGGGGCTCCGCCTCCGCTACTGCTTCTTCCTTCGACTCCTCGCTATTCTCGTGCACGCCGTTGACCAGGGGTCCCGCGTCCTCGCCATTCTCCTCCTCCGGCGACTCCGTTTTCTCCTCGCCCGCCGCGTCCGGCTTCTCGTCCTCGTGGTACGAGAGCCCGTTACTCGTGGGCGCCGCGACGCTCTTGCTCTTGTCTTTGACCGTTAGCAGAGCTTCCGACAGGAGGCTCGCTTTGGGCGTCGCGGCGCGGGCGGCCTCCTCTTCCACCGAAGCTGACTTGTCGCACTCGCTACCATCCTCCATGATCTGCATTCTGTTTATGCTGCAACAGAAAACCAACACGACTTTCTTAGCTCCAACTCCGATCAAAGATACAGGAGGATTTACACATGATCATTGCGACAAAAATTACATTCAAGTACAAGTATACATGATAAGAAAATTGAATTGAAAAGTTGGTTATTCGATTGAGCGTTGAAAACCGCACAACAAATAAAAAAACAACGATAAAAACCTAATGGTATTGTATTGTTTCAATAACTTCAAAATTGTATGGTGAAGGGAGGGGGGAATTTCAATTAGCGTTTCTCCAGAAAGGGTTCACGTTTGACGGCTGCATATCATCCTCGCACATTTCATCTTCGCACACTTTCTGTGATTATCATCCTCGCACACTTTTTTAGGATTTTATGTATTTCCTTACACAGCTTGACAACATCGCATTGGAAATTGCATGGAGATGATAGTTGATAGTATCAGACGGTGGACCCCGTTTGAACTGATAACGCTCCTTGATTCCACCCAGTCACCGAAATGCGATTGGGGTTTATGTTCATATTGCAACGGTTTTTTTTTGTTTTTTGTTTTTTTTTTGCCATTTAAAAACGAGCACATTTATTATGCTATGTGGATGCCTTTGAAGAAACTGTGCCAAGAATTATTTGGGCAAAATTACGAGAAAAATTACGAGAAATTTGCGAGAAATAGGAGAAGAAAAACATATGCTCAGCTTCAAAAGAACAACCGACTCTGATAACATTGCTAACGAAGGAAATGACGATGGCTTGATTTGAAAAATGATGGCTGCTGAGAAACACATACCATTTCCTTCATATTTGTTTACAGTGTTGCAATTTCATGCACATGCAAATGTGTGGCAAAGTATAGGTGTGCGAGGGTGGTAATGCTCGCGAAAGTAGGCGAGGATGAAAGCCTCCCCGTTTGACCTAGTTATAAATGGGAGTTACCTGGCCGCTACGCAGCCTTAGATGGCCTCCGTACGACAATTTTTTGCACATACTTAATTTCACCGGTAAAGTTAACGTCTTGGTACTGGAGAGGGTGAAAACAGGGAGAAAAAGGCAAAAGAAAGGGAAGAGTTATAAATTTCCAAAAAATCTTACTCATGGTCACGGAACTTAGAATTAATGATTTCTGAATGGCGCAATGTAAGTTCTGCATTCTCGAGCGAAGTTCGCTCGTCAATGGTTTCAAAACCAGTTAAATCAATTATAACGCTGCACTCATCTCCATGCAACGTCATTCGAGACGAGTCATGTGGCTCACGTCCGCAAACCTCAAGCTCTTTTTCTTCCTCGGCGGAAGGAAAAGGGATGGTCAGATGTTTCTTCCTCGGGGAGCCTTGGTCCGCACCTTCTGGTGAGTCGATTTCAATGAGTTCTGGTGCGTCAATTTCAATGAGTTCTGGCGCGTCAATTTCAATGAGCTCTGGTTCGCTGGATTCCCTCCGCCGCTTTGAGACCTCGGCCGATACTTCGCGCTTCAACACTTGCACCGACCCAACTTCCTGATTAAGGGTATTTTTTCCCACGACAACTTTCCAAATTTTTTTAACTTCACATTTATGAAGCATTAGCCGCAGCTCTTGCGGTGCTGAGGTGCGGGTCCAACGAGTCTCCATTGGGAGTACCCTACTTTTCGCGGAATCGTCCACTTGTTCAAGGCGCGCAACCAATTTCTATTCAAAACAGCCGAATATGAACGCCGGAGAAATAAAGGAAGAGTTTATCTACGAAAAATCGATGACACAATCCGAAACACTGATACTCAGAAAACAATAGCGCAGTAGCAAGAAAATGATCAAAAGAGGCCATTCCTGCCCCCTGTGGAAGTGCCAACTGAAGAGTCCTCGCGTTCCTCTGCGAGAGGCACCTTGCTTCGCCTCAGCGTCACTCACCCTCCCCTATTCACATCTCGCATTCTGAGGCGTTCTGGGGATGACCCCCGTGACAAATTGTGCCAAGTGGCCACATATTTCCCACACCTTGACCTTAGGCTTCCCTCACCACTTGCCCGGACTCCACCACTTAATTAAATGCAGGCCTCTATTGTTGGAGAAATGCAATAATTAATCTGACAACGCAGCATCTTCCCCGAAAAACCATAAAACAGTCGCACCCTTCAATACTTTACGAGGGTTCTCGTCCCCTGTTCTCACGCCTACGCTTGCGTGGTGCATCCCTTTGTCTTTGACTTCAGTCAGTCCAGATCCTTCTCTGTAGCTTAAAGCCGTGTTCGTCTCAGTGCTGTGAAACTGAATAAATTCTACTTCGGAATTAAATCATATCTTATTAATATCATAACCTTAATTTCTTCACCTGTCGAAATACCCCTCCCCGGCCTTGCGAGGGTGGTGGCGTCACCGCAGCGCTCTGACGTCGGAAGCAAAAGAGCCTTGAAATTTGGCTATTGATGGAAAATTGAATCCCTCTCTCTTTTTTCTTTTTTTCTGATGTTTAATGGAATTGAATCTTTGTGATTGAATTTGGCACTTGGGATGCAAAGTGAGGACGATAATCAAACGATTAGTGGGCGTTTGATAGTGTCTCAACATTGTTGAAAATCTCGGAGTAAAATTTGATGTATATAGAGAGTATGTAGCGCACAGGGAGCTCGACAAATCGAAAACGAATAGCGCGCGTCAGTACGTGGCACTGCACAAGAAGAGAAGATGCCAAGGACCCTCCGGTCAAAGTATCACAAGCGCCGTGCGACGTTTAAAAATTTCTGCCGCCATTCTATTATTTACGTAGGAATTGTTCAACGAAGCTGTCCAAAAATATCACTGAATTTTCTTTGCGCTGAAAAAGCACAAATCTTTGTGCTTCGTGTTTTCTTTGTGTACGATAAAATTCAGTGAAATTTTCAAATAGATTCAACCAACAATTTCCCTGCAAAAAAATAAAATGGCGGCGGAAATTTTGAAACGTCTCATGGCGCTTATGATACTCCGACAGGAAGGTGACGAGCTACCGCTGAGTGAAAGTGTATATCACTCCGCGAAAAGAGTAGATTTTACTCTGTGTTCATGCCACTCAGGTTCTTTAGGCGCTGAATAGACTCCGGAGTGAGATACGCCCCAAGTAAGAGATTTTTAACAGTGACTGAAGACCAACTTGAACAAAAATGCATAAAAAGCGTGGACATTTAAGAGGCCCCGTGAAAAATTCGGGGACGAAACTCTTTACCGCGCAATGTAACACCTGAAGATGAATCCTTCTAGAGTTCCATAGAAGAGGGCGTGCAACTGAGTGGATCATTTGAATCCAGGAAAAACGAGGGAAATGCGGTGGGGGGAGGGGAGGTGAGAATCTTCTGGAAAGTCATTTGAGAGGATGAATAGGGAGTGGGGTATCGATTCCTTCAGTCTCCCTAGTACCTACCGCGATTTCGACGCAGATATTTGAACAGGTGTATAAGAATAATTAAACAGCACAGTAAACTCATTCAATACACCAAGAGTATTTGTACCCACACCAGTTGAAGGTGCTTTGTATGAGGTGCACGCCTGTCCAAATCTGTCCGTCCCTACTATCGTGACGTTACTGATTCAAATTGGACGTATTTCTACCAAACAGACCTATGTGGCGATGAGAAATGTGGGGTGTGCTCGTGGAAGCTGCATAAGAAACAATGTAAAAGTGGGCGTGATTCCTTTTGAAGAATTGGAAAAGCGGGATTTTACATTCTACCAAAGAGACCTATGTGCAACTGAATGCGGAACTCATGAGCCGCGGGCATGGCAAGAGAGCGTTGTGGACAGGGCTCATGAGTTAATGACCACGACTACCGCAACCACGAGGAACGTGACGCGGCGTCCTCCTCCGTTGACGTCACTGGCGCTTTATTATTCTCATTCACTCTTACGGCCAGAGACTAACGAGCACACCCCATATTTCTCACTTCCACATAGGTCTGTTTGGTAGAACTACGTCCAATTAGACTGCTGTACTCTACGGAAATTCGTGTATATGTTGGCAAATTTTTTTAAAAAAGACGTTCCGCACTTAAACCCTGCGATGAGGCATAGGACAGGTATTTTGTTTGATGAGTTGCAATTAAATTTAAGGGGCGTGGAGGACAAGGCACATTAGTGCGGTTTTTGAAAAAATTGAGATATCAATGAAATCGAGTAAAACTAGTCTCAATGCATATTCTGTGAAAAATTCGCTCCAAAATTCTACTTTTTAAGCATCAAAAAATCAGTATGAATTTTCTTTCCGCCATAAGGCTCCGTGTAATTTCGAAACTTCAAACATGTATTTCTCGAAATAGCAAAAACTGTACTTGTGCGCCTTGTCCTCCGAGCCCGATTTAAAAGTGGGAAAATGCACCGCCTAGTGACGTCATTTGGCGGCATTTCTCATTTAAACACATGCATTTTAGCAGATTAGATCATTATGTCATATCCTCTTCAATGGTTGTTCACAATTCATGAACCAAGGGTAGCCTCGAGTTCAGTTCAAAGTTCACTCAGTAGTTTTCCACTTTGACACGAAATTCATCAAATTTCAGACACCTGCAAATCCTCTATTACTTGTATATTTTCGAACACGTCGCGAGCCTTACTGAAATAAAAAATCAGCATTCTCGCTTGAAATGGAACAATTTTTTCCCCGATCTGACGTCATTCAACCATTTTTCGATGGGGAAAACTCGGCCGACGGAGAAGTTGACACCGTGCGAAGGGGATCCAATGCCCGAGGGCGAGGGACTCTGGGGAGGAGGGGGGTGGGGGAGGGTATTCTCAAGCGCCAAGTAGGAGAGCGGGAAGATAAGCGTAGTAAGCTGGGGCTACGGCGGCGGCGGCGCACAGTGGATCGAGTCAATCAGAGAAGTCGGACATGAAATTGTTGACTAAAACTGCAAATTTTTATGTTTAATTCGTCATATTTTAAAGTTTAAAGGGTGCTTCTGAAGGGAAATTTCTCGAGGAAACCAATGGAGCCACTTTTATAACCTCAAAGTTTTGTATAAACGGAGTTATAAGCGTTTAAAGTTTCCGAATTTTGTCCGACCTCT